ATCGGAAAGATGAGACTCTTCGTGAGGTGTATTAAGCCCCATTGAAATAATCTCCGAAAATTTTATTTTTTTAAATATTTACTTCTTTTCCCATAAAACAATAAATTATAGTTTTTTTTCTTGAATAAAGAATTGTATTTGAAGATGTAGCAATTGAGAATCGGTTTTATTTTTATTTTATTTATTTCACGAGTAGTTTGATTATAATTGGACATTGTAAATGATATTACCGATATAAAGATAAATTTGTTTTTAAATATATATACATTGTGCTTTTATCATAAATTCATTTTCAGAACCACCCAAAACAAAAGAATCAATTGAACTTCCGCACCATACAAAAAAAGAAAAACAAATCATCGCGGTCATTGTTTACCAGGAAACCAAAAACTTAGAATGCATGAATGACTCAGGCGTGCGAGAGTACTGCAAACTTTTCATAATAATTGTGAGAAGTGTTTTTTCTTTTTCTTTTTTTCAACATTTTTAGCACCTCCCAACCCTGTTTTTCATTTTTTAGTGCCTAGTTCCATGTGCCACGCGCTGGGTTCATTTCCCTTAATATTCAAAAGTACTAAATGTAAGATAATGGATTGATTCATATGTGCCTAAACCCACGGCTCTAGGCCATAGTCCAAGATGGCGCCCTTCAGCATTAGCATTACGGTACTGTAATCATCATCAAATATAATAAAGGCATTTTAAGTGCAGTAAAACATGTGAGAATATCGCGGAAATTAAAATACTGTGATGCCTCAAAACATTAAATCTATAATTTGTGATAGTCATTTCAACACTTTTAAGTGTTGTGGTGCATCATGCCTTCATAGTAATACAACTATTGACCATTTTGATCAAAAAATGTCAAATATATATATATATATATATATATATAGATGAGATTAATGAAAGTATAGTTTTTTTTTTTCAAGGAATATTTTGGTAGAGTATTTTTTAATATTATATTTAGAGGAATATATGGGCAAAAAATTTTATGGAAGTTTTTATTAAACTAAGATACATAATTTAATCCCAATTTTAATGAGCATATCTCAAAAACAAATTTTCAGAGATATCAAATCAACAAAGAAGATAGATAAAATTATACAGCAAAAGACTTTTTGAAAAGCATTTGTGAAAAGGAAAAAGTTTATAAGAGGTTGTAACTTTAAAATGTAGAACCAAAGATGCACTTAAAAATTCATCGGAAATGGTATTAATGTTGAAAATCCCTCTAATTCATCATCTCAACATCGAGATATAGGAATAGGGAAAAAAAAATAAAAAATTTGAGTCCTAGAAATAGTACATCTTGCAAAACATTATCTTGACCGTCCATTTTAAAGATTTTCATAAGTTCATAGATCTACTTGATTAACTTTATAATTAGATATGAAAATAGATTTTCAGCTAATCGTAATAATTTTTTATAACAAAAATACATGTTATGATAAATGTTGGAGGTGCACCTTAATTGGATTGTTTAAGGTTGCAGCCTCATAGAAACCCTACCCTTTTGAAGAAAGATAAATAAAGGGTTCGTTTGGATCCTAGGGTAAACAAAATATGGTTTTGTATAACCATGTTATCTCGTAAAAAAACTCGTTTGGCAACTTTTTGGATACATAATCATGTTTTCTGTAATGAAGAAAGAGGGCCAAAAGATGGGTATAGAAAACCAAAAAAAAAATTGAGTTATCTAAAACATTGTTTTGTGTAAGCAAGAAAGAAGGAATACAACTTGTGACAATACTAATTTTCACACACCAGAGCTGCCCACATTATTAAATACAATTACTTATGTCAAAAACTTCACACAAACTAGAGAGAAAAAACACCGCAAATTAAGTTTTAGAGAGAGAAAATATTTTAAAATTTTAAAAAGAGAAACTATATTAAATTTTAGAGAGAGAAACTACAAAAAAAAAATTAGAGAGAGAAACTATCACAAATTTTTTAAAGAGAAATTATATCAAATTTCAAGTTTTAGCTGGAGAGAAACCATATCACATTTTACAGTGAGAAATTACATAAAAAAAATTTAGAGAGAGAATCCTTTCAAAAAAATTTAGATAGAGAAATTATATCAAATTATAAAATTTAGATGAATAAAGCCTCTTAAAACTTTAGAGAGAAAATATATCAAATTCCATATAGAGAAACTACCTGGATTTTTTAGAGATAAACTATTTCAAGAATTTTAGAAAGCAGAACCATATCAAATTTGAATTGTTAGATAGAGAAATTATCTTATAATTTTTAAAGAGAGAAAATATCTCAAATTTTAAGTTTTAGATAGAGAAAGTATCTCAAAATTTAAGAGAGAAATTATATCAAATTTTATAGAGAGAAACTACCCAAAATTTGTAGAGAGAGAAACTATCTTAAAATTTTAGAGAGAAACTATCTTAAATTTCAAGTTTTAAAGAGAAAACAAATCTTAAAACTTTAGAGAGAAAAACTATATCATATTTTAAAGAGATAAATTACATGAAATTTTTAAGAGAGAGAAACTATCTCAAATTTCAAGTTTTAGAGACAGAAACTATCTCAAATTTCAAGTTTTCGAGAGAAAGTATTGAAAAATTTTAGATTGTGAAACTATATCAAATTTTAGAGAAAGAAACGACCTAAATTTTTTAGAGAGAGAAATATCTTAAATTTTTTAGTGAGAGAAACCATCTCAAATTTCAATTTTTAAAAAGAGAAAGTATCATAAAATTTTAGAAATGTGAACTATATCAAATTTTAGAGAGAGATCATCCAAAAAAATTTTGGGAGAGAAACTATCTCAAAATGTTTAGTGAGAGAAACTATCCTAAATTTCAAGTTCTAGAGAGAGAGAAAGTACGTTAAAATTTTAGATAGCAAAAATATCTAAATTTTTAGAGAGAGAAACTATCTCAAAATTTTCAAAGGGAATTTATCTCAAATTTTAAGCTTTAGAGAGAGAGAGAGAGTGTGTGTATCTTTAAATTTTAGAGAGATAAACTATATCAAATTTTAGAGAGCGAAACCACCTAAATTTTTTTTACAGAGTAACTATCTTAAAATTTTTAGAGAAACTATATCAAATTTTAAGTTTTAGAGAGAGAAACTACATCAAAATTTAGATATAGAAACAACCTGAAACCTTTTAGAGAGAACTATCTCAAAAAATTTAGAGAGAGAAATTATATCAAATTTCAAATTTAAGAGAGAAAGTATCTTAAAATTTTAGAGAGTAAAACTATATCAAGTTTTAGAGAAATTACTTAAAAAATATTTAGAGAGAGAAACTATCTCAAAATTTTTAGAGAAATTTTCTCAAATTTTAAGTTTTAGAGGGGGAAAGTATTTTAAAGTTTATTTTGAGATAGAAACTATCTCAAAAATTTTAGATAGAGCAATTTTCAACCTCTTGAAATTTCAAATTTTTAGAGAGAGAGAGAGATTATCTCAAAATATTTGGAGAGAAACTATATCACATTTAAAGTTTAAGACAGTTTTCTCTCTAAAAATATTGAGATAGTTTTTCTCTCTTAAAATTTTTAGGTAGTTTTGCTCTCTAAAATTTTGTATAGTTTCTCTCTCTAAACATTTGATAAAAAATTTTATAATAAGAAATTTTTTTTATATGTATTGTTGCATACCAAATATGTGTAACATAATTTTCACATGAAAATATTTTGCATGAAAATGTTTCACACCTATCAAACTGTCCTAAATAGTGTAATCCTAAGTTAAGCAAATAGACGACCCAAAGGGATTCTACATAACCTGGGTATTATCTACGAGCTATCCTAACAGTCATTTCTCAATAACCAAGTTTTGACATAACTACGGTTTGCATATCCAAAACATGGTTTTGTTTACCCTAGGATCCAAACGAGCCCTAAACCTTTATATCAAAATGTTATTTCTTGAAAATCTATTGTAAAACTCAAAAGTAGGAAGTTTTTTTTAAAAGCATTTTTGAAAAATGATGAAATGCACCTGCAAAATGCGAATTTTTTAATATCCATGGTAAAAAGTGTTTTTATTATTAGAAAAATCAGACATGTTCTTACTAACTATGCTTCAGACTTCCACAGTAAGTAACAACTTCGGGTTGAAGTTACGAACAATTAATCTTATTATCACTCGTGGTCCGAAGTTCTTTTTAATGAACTCTGGACATTCATTGTCCTAAATTAAGTTTTATCAATAATAACTTCAAATCTATTGCGTCCAAGTTATTTCTACATGTCAAATCTTCAGATCTGGGAAGTCTGAATTGAAACTTCCTCGAGACTTTTTCAGACCTGGAAAGCGTGAATCAAACTTCTTCTTTTTTAAGTAGCTTCAAACCTTAAAAAGCCAAAGGCCCAAACCATGAGCACCTTCGGATCTTGATAATCCAGAGGTAATAATTGTCACATCACTTCAGGCATTATCCCAAGTAGAGACACTTGAGAAGAATTTTTATATTATGGACCTTTAAAGATAAAAATTCGACATCAACGAGATGCAAGCAAGACTACAGAGATTCTTTGGTTTAAAATCAAGAGAAGTTAATGTGAGCTTTTATTGACATCGGTACAAGTGTAAGTTCTTTTCATGTAGTTGGCACAAATACCCCTTTCACTCCCATGCAGCGTTTCAAAAACAGATCCCCCAACCCACACAAGTCCGTATCGATTGCAAAATTGCCGATGCAAATCAGTCCAAATCAACAATCCAAAAGATACTTGCAATGAAAAAAAATTAAAATAGGAACTCGTCTTAGGGAGATTCAAAAAGGTCATGAGACATGAGAATATAAAAAATGAAGGGGGCAACCCGAGCCATTACCTATGCCTTCCCAAAATGATTCGGTTGCAGCCTACTCCCCGCCCATTTCGGCAATTCCCAATCCCAGGTTTTAAAACACTGCTCTTCAGTGGTCGAGCAAAATCTTTTCTTGGTTGGGGAATTTTGACAATGGGGCATGATGAGTTGAGGTTCACTACTTCTGGGCAAAAGCTAAAAAGACAATATTCTGCCAACCTGAAACTACTCGTCTAAAAATACCATGTCAACAGGAATAAATGATCCATGATAAGCAAATGCTAATAACAACCAAGCCCACAAAACTGGGTACGAATAACACACCCGACAAATCTCACTCCATTCCCCCTTTTCTACATATGACTTGATCCTTTCCAAAATGGAGAAGATATCCATTAGAGCGCATACCATACTAGGGGGAATGATACAAATTAATCCTCACACAGCAAGAAACCCACTAGTAAGCTTGGTCCATCTCTACAGTACCAAAACAAACAGAGAGAGAGAAAGATTGAGAGAGACTTCAGAAGGGACACATACGACCATCTCCCTACTAGCAAATTACCAAGTACCCAAATACGAAAGTCACAATTCATAATAAAAACCTAAGCATGAATGAACAACGAAACCTCTACTTAGCATCAGGGCTCCCATCTCCATATGAAACGAGGCCCTTGTTTCCAGAGGGGCTAGGAGACCGCGACCTACTAGGAGAACGATCCTTCCCAAGAGGAGACCTCGATTTCTTAGCATCATCAGATGACCTCGACATTGAAGAAGGGCTCCGGCTCCTTGAAATAGACCTTCCTTTCTCTGAGGAATGCCGAGCAGACGTGCCAGGACCAAGGCGAGAGCGCAGTTTCTCACTCATGGAAGGCCTCTCATCCACTGGGCTTCGGCTTCGACTTCGGCTAAATGCTGGGCTTCGGCTGAGATCCTTGTTTCCACGCGACCGGTAGTTTATTGGGCTCCTAGATATGCTTCGGCTCCGGCTTCTCCTGCTCCTGTATCTGCAATGAGGGATAAGAAGGCTACATATAAGCCCGATCACTTTTTTCCATTTTTTTGAGGTTTTTGATAAATATTATCTTGATCTTCTCAATTTACTGGAAAAGAAAAAGTGCAATGGGCATGGAAAAACTTTTCTCCATTGGGGTCATGACAATCAAATACAACAGATGGTGATGAGAATAGGAACAACCAACCCCCTTCTTGGGAAATCAAATCTCCACTGGATCATGGCTGTCCGATGCAATTGATGGCAATGGCGAGGGTAGGATCCACAATTGGGAGCATGCTCCATTCTCAATCCATCAAGAAAGTCAACTCATGGGTGTGATCCCAATGGACTGCAGTTTCCCTGAACTTTTGCACTTTCTCAAAAAATTAAGGTAGTTTTTCAAATAGCTCGGGAATTTCAGGAAGTTTTACACATGGTTTCACTGCAAATATAGCAATTCGAACACAGTCTCACCGCATGATTTATAATTTTATCAAAATAAATACATCATATGGTGCCCAACACACTATGGTTACTTTAAAAGGTCAATCATTTTTCTTTAGTAGTAACCAAAAGCTATTCTGTATGATGAGACAGGAGAGATATGACCTTGGTGGTGTTCTGCCTCTAGGGGGGCTCCGGTATCGTCTTGGAGGTGACCGATCTGAATAACCACGATAGCCTGAGTATCTGGTCATCACAAGGAGAAAACCAAAATTGTGTTAAAGCTTATCAAGATAACAATATATATCTATATCTATAAATATATATATATATATATATATAGAGAGAGAGAGAGAGAGAGAGAAATACCTCTCCCGATCCCGGTCCAAACCGCTTCTACCCCCATAGCGATAGGACCTCACAGGTGAGCGATCAGGGGAAGGAGTGCGGTACCTTCTTGCATACGAGTAGCGCTGACTAAAGCCACGCCCTCTCCTTATACGTTTAGGTGTACCATCAGGAGAAGGGCTTCTTGACACACTTCGACCATGGTTAGAGAGAGAAGGGGCCTGACCCCTCCTCACAGGGCTCCTCGAATAACTACCACGATTAGCCCTACCAGGAGGCCTTGCAGGGCTCCTGCTAACACTTCGAGGAGGGGGGCTCCTCCTTAGGCTCCTTCTTGGGCTCACGCTGGGGCTCCTGCTTCTGCTTGTGCTTCTCCTAGGGCTCACACTGGGGCTCCTCCTCTTAGGGCTTGGACTTGGGCTCCTCTCAGGGCATGGACTTAGACTCCGGCGCCTCTTGGGGCTTGGGGTGAGACTTCGGCCCATCTTGGGGCTTGCACTTAGACTCCGGCGCCTCTTGGGGCTTGGAGTGAGACTTCGGTCCATCTTGGGGCTTGCACTTATACTACGACCCCTTATAGGGCTTGGGCTTACACTCTGGCGTCTCGTAGGGCTTGGGCTCACGCTACTGCCTCTCTTAGGGCCTGGACTTGCACTCCGGCTAAGGCTCGCACTTCGACTCCTGCTCAGGCTCCTGCTTTTCAACTTCCAGTTAGGACACAATCAAACTTTTTCTTGTTTGGGGAAGAAGAAAAAAAGAGGCGGAGGAAAAGAGGGGGGAACAGGGGTTGGGATGGGTGGGTGCGTGGGTGGGGGGGGGGGGTGGGGGTGGGTGGTGTGTGTGTGTGTGTGTGTGTGTGAGAGAGA